ATTCACAGCACTCACCATAGTACATACCCTCCCCGATGTCTATCACCCAGCCACCCCATCCCTCCTACTCCCCACCACTCCAGGGTATTATGCTAAGTGAAATAAGTCAGAGAAAGACATGTATGATATGATCTCACTGATATGAGGAATTCCTAATCTCAGGAAACCAATTTGTCTTTCTAAAACACATTCTGAACAATTTATTTTTCCAGTTAAAAACCTCTTAAGACTGCCTAACACAGGTTGGAGGTCAAATACATGAATGTAGAAGTCTATGTACAATCTGCAAAGTTGTTACAGTTATAGTTACATCCTTATGCAGTCCCCCCTCCCATTTTCTCCTGCAGTCTGTATTCTCGCCATGATAAACTGTACTAATCCCTGTTCCCAGATTCTCTTGCCTTTTTGTGTACATATTTCTCTGATCATGCTGCCTATTCATCTGACTAAAGAGAAGCAGTGATGTAGAATATGGGCACCCTTGTTCTGAAGTCAGTTTCCAGTTCTTTATTAGCTGTATGACCTTGGGTAAGCTTCTTAATCTCTCCGTAGCCAGTTTCCTCATGCACAAAAGTTGGGGACAATAATAGTACACACCTTACTGGGTTATTGTGAGGATTAAATAAATTAATCCATGTAAAGTGCTTAGGATACTAGCTGGAATGTAGTGTATGCATAATTTTAACTGTTGTTAATAATAATTGTCCAAGATTTTGTAACTTAATATTACTTTTACGTTGCTTATAGCACCAGAGATGAGTAGAACAGTATCCTTTTCTGTTTATCTGAAAGGGAGTTATACACCACCTCAATTGGAAGGAAATGCTGTTGTTTCTTATTCCAGACCATCAGGTAAGCACACAGTTGTTCACAGATTTATAAGCCTAATTACTCCTTTTAAAATATTGGGGTTATGAGTTAAATATTTAAGTGTTTAAGACTGAAAAACACATTGTAAAATATTACTAAATGGAAAAATAATTCTTTCCTAGTGTTAAATAAAATTATATGTCCAAATTACTGTTATGTGTTATGAATTATTAGAGATAAGTCTATTTAGCTGATTTCCACATATAATGTTTGATTCTGTCTTCTCAATTAATAGCAAATATGATATATTTTTATTCACACTCAAAGAATGGTATTAGACTTCACTTATTTGAACAAAGAAGAAAAGCCTGGGGCGCCTGGGTGGCTCAGACGTTAAGCGTCTGCCTTCGGCTCAGGTCATGATCCCGGGGT